GGAATGCATGAAAATCACAATTGGCCACCACATGGCAGCTTTTGTTGCAAATTTTATCTGATTTATCATCGAAATTGGTAGCTTTGAGTTGGGTAGAAGTTAAAAAATTCCTAGGTTGACCTTGCAACTCAAGGGACAACAGTGTATTGGTTGTAATTTCGAGATAATGAAGTGACAATAATGGAGACGTGTCTCCGACCATTGTGGAAAAAAAATTCAACCTGCTCTTGATACCAAGCTAAATTATAGAGAGAATATGATAAATTGAATAAACTCAATCACTTGCCTCCCATTGATACGGCCATAGCCAATATATAATACAAGGTTTTCCTAATGTGATAAAATTAAGAAATATCACAAAGATCTCAAAAGATTATATTCTAGGCACAAAATATAGCAACTAAATATTATCATATAATTTCCTAAAATATAATATTCCCAATAGTTATGAATTAGTCAATTTGTACAAATGTTTTCAATTGGCAAGCAGTATTATACCCATATGAGTATATGACGTTTAACTATTACTCATTTTCTTTTTTCCTCTTTTGATTTATACATTGTATTCTTTTGCTACTTGGACATTTACTTTTCACTAACAAAATTTACCCATGTGAATATGTGATTCTAATAGAACCACCAGTAACACTAGTTACTTGGTAAAAAAAAAATTGCAATACAATTATAAATTAAGAGAAGTTAATTAAATGAAAAGGAAATATGAAATGGAGGGAATATTGAAATAATATGTTTTTTTTTTGTTTTTGTTTTTGTTTTTTTTTTGTTTTTTTTTTTTTTTGAAAACAAGTAAACAACAATTGTGTCATGATGTATTGATGTACATAAATGATCTACCTAGAGGTGGGCATGGGCCGTGCTGGTTCGCGAGCGACACGAGCACGGCACGACACGGTGACCGAGGAGTGGGTCGTGGGCCGTGCCGTGAACACAATTTTGAAAAATCGGCATGAGCACGGCATGGTAATTTGGCTTGCCGGCACGCGGCACGCTAGGTACGACCCAGCACGGTCCGGCAAGGCACGGCCTCTGCAAAACAGCTATAATAACAATTTAATAATAAAATTAACATAAATAATAATAATAATAATAATAATAATAATAATAATAATAATAATAATAATAATACAGAGTAAAAGAACTATAATAATAAAAATAAGAACAGTAAAAAGAACAATAATAATATAATAATACAAAAGCATAAACATAAATTAATAAAATTATTTAAATATACTCATTTTAAAAGTTGTTCAAAAAAAATATATATATCGATTTTTTTTAATAAAAAAATTAAAAATTCTAGGCGGCCCGCTCCCTGTCCCGGCACGACACGCTAGGCACGTGGGTTGTGCCGTGTCGTGGGCTGGGGGTGTGCCAAATGGTGGCCCGGCATGGCACAGCCCCCCAAGTTGCAGGCACGACAAGCCCCGACACAAGCCACCATCAGGCACGACGAGGCACGACTCGACACGGCTCGCGGTGGCCCGGTACGGCATGCTGCCCACCTCTAGATCTACCATTTTGATGGGTCTTTCTTTTCACTTGGTCTAGCACTCTTTCTGAGCAGATGGACAATATCACCCATCCGAAGAGATGTTCATATGATGCAATTTTTCTTACTTTCTACACACGTTATTCAATTCACAACTAATAAGAATATTATTTACAATGATTATATGTGCATCTAAAATTCTCAGCTAATTTTTCATAACGTTGTTGAAAAGTAGAAAAAAATAATATTAAAACAAGCATCAAATTTAGGCTCTAAATCTTGAAATTATGAGTCCGTTCTGTTCACCTTATTTTCACTTATTTCAGATGTAATAAGTTAAAATAAATTCAGTTCGGGAAAAATAAATTCTGATAAGGGTTACCCAAGTACAAATTACAACTAAAATTAGCTTTAATAAGTTTAGATAAGATAAAATAAATCAGATGAATAAAACGCACCCTAATATTCTGATTATAATGTATCTTTCATTTTAATAAAGGGCAAAAAAAAAAAAAAAAAAATCTTAAAGTAAATATGTCAAATCTTTGGGCCAATATTCACAAGACTTTTCCGAGTTGGTTCATATGTAGGGCCCAATTTTACCATTGTTATAGCCCGTTCAGTTATCCTTGTCCACTCAATTACTTGCATAAGAAGTGATCTCACTTATCAAAGAAAAACTTGTTGAGTTGTTAGACTGTAAAACTTCTTACGAATTCTCAATTTGACCAAAGAAAGACTTTTGTACTCTTAGAGTACGACTAGAGACTGCTGATGCAATTACATAGATATTGAAAGATGGTAACGTTTTGCCGATTGGTTAAATGTCAATTAGTTTAGTTGGTTAAAATTTTAGGTGGTAGTTAACATCTGTGATTGATCAATCTTATTATTCATCTACATTATTCGTATTTTGTGACTTAATATCATAAGATGTTATATTGTAAAGTTTTTTTAGAGGGCATAGGTAAGATCCTATTGCGAAGAGTCCTACTGATCGAAGTCTTAGAGCTCAAACTCCATGTATATCGTGAGATTTGAAGCCAAACAAAGGAAAGGATAATAGCCTGATAAGATTGCAGACTTGTAAACCATCTTGACATTTGATGCTTAAAATTATATATCATCTTTCTTTTATCAATTATTAATTTATATATATTCATCAAATAATAAGTTCTAATATAACAATGGTTAAACATTCAAGCAATTAAAAGTGTAACATGATTTAGAAGTCAAAATGTCAAGGAGGATTCAGATTGTACAAACAATGCCCATCATAACCAAAATCAACACTGCATGCAGCATGCTTAAAGTGTTAATTCTTCAAATATTGAAGACAAAATTTAGTTGAATTTGGCTAGAAAACTCTACAAAAATAAAATAATGTATTGTGCACAGTAGACGTACAACAAATAATCTCAAAATAATCTATATTCAAATTTTATCATCCTTTTATTTTTTTTGATGGAATAATCATATTTTAATTTATTTTTTGGCAGAATTATCATACTTTAATTGAACTTATTTTAGTTGTAAACTAAAGTAATGTAAAACTTTTTTTTGGAACTTGAATTTCTAAATCTATGGCAAAAAAATTGAATAATACGGAATATATTAATTGGGCCATCAATATGGACCGCACCAAAAAGAAAGCACTATCCTTAGCAAAATCATTAAAATATATGTTGGTCCAACTACATACATGAAAAAAAGGTAAGGAAAAATCTTTTTTTTTTCTTGTTTGGCCTTTTGAAGGAGCTTCCTCGAACTACCACTATCTAATAATTGTTGTTGAAAAGTATAAAATTCTCAAAAAAAAACTTTTAACAAAAGATTAATGTACGCACAGTATCAATGGTCAAATACTCAATATATTAGTGTTTTGAAAGTTCAAAGAAATCATAATGATATAATTACTTAAAGTATTGCTTGGTTAAAACAAAAGAGAATTATTTTCTCTTTTAATTTACATATACATTGATTTAGGAAGCTCAACTTTTGATTTTGGCCCTTGAGTTTGGGGCTAATGATATAAAGTATTGAAATAGTCCACAAAACTTATGGGAGTCACATGGATTCAAATTGATCGTTTCTAAATGGAGAGAGATACAAATACGTAGTAATTTGAAGACATGGAAGTATGCAACAATGTTCATATTATTTGTTCAAGTTAAGTACGTATTGTTAGACATACTATCTATAATATGTACACCTTTCGTTTTTAAATAATTGCTACATTTTTCCATGCATGCAGTTTTAGGAGAAAGTAATAAAATATAGAGGTAGTGGGGTGGGTGGAAGAATAAAAAATTGTAAAAAGCAAAAGTAGTTGAGAGAGATTGGAGAAGAGAGAATATGAAATTAATATAATATATATGATTTATGTTGGGTTTACAAGTTGAGAGAAATCAATTAAAAATTGTAAAAACTTTCTAAATAAGGAAATAGAGCAAGTATTTAAAAACGGCCAAAAAAATGAAAAGTGTAGCAAGTATTTAAAAACGAAGGGAGTAATAGAAGTACATTAATGTAAGTACATTAGAAGTTTGCAAGTAAAGTAAAAAATAAAAATGTGTTAACTAAAAAAGAACAAAGAAAGTATATACAAAGTATATTATTGTATACTTGTTTTAAGTAAGAAGAATAATACTATAGAAAATAGATTAATTGAGGCCAGACCAATTGGATTTAATGGTACATGAAATGCACGCAACTACAGAACATAAGATTTGAAACAATTGTTATATAATTATATTCATCTAATTTCCACTTAGCTAAAAAAAAAAAGTTTAAATGAAAGCTTAAAGCCTTCTTCATCAGATAAGATATGTTTGAGAAGTGAGTTAAAATAAGTTTTGAAAAGAGTTTATAAGGTTTATCAAAGATTCAAACTTTCAAAGCTAAGGTCAAGTAATTAAAAAATAATAATTTTAATTACTAATAAAATTTGGCGAAATTTAGAAAATGAAAGTGATATTTTTGCTACTTAACGTGACATGGCAACTTTTTTTCTTTTGTTCAGATCCCTTAAAAATATTTTAGTGTGACATGTCACATTGTTAGCCTCTCTTTTACCCTCTCAATCTCCCCCTCACATTATTAATGCAATTACAGCAAGTCAGCAATTACCAAACCGGAGGAGTTTATTCCTTTCAGATGCTCCAGCATTCATTATTTTATCCCTATTTCCTAACTTTGCAACAAACTTCACAATTCACATTATCTAACAAAATAATCTCTTTTCTGCCACTAAAGAAGGTACAAAATCACCACAATAATAATAAAAGTAATAATTTCACTTAATAAAGACCGTATTAACATACCTACATGTATCTATATTTCTAAGTCTTGTATGTACTAATGTACGTCTGGTCTAATTCTTAAGAAAACATCTGTGATGCACACAAATCTCACATAATATACGTGCGATGTCAATAGATGTACATAAACATAAGACTGTGCACCAAATGAAATACTTTATTTTTTTTTTCACTGAATAAAACTTACGAGTACGATATAAATAATATGTCACTTGATCGATTGATCACAACATATGACGAAAAAGTAAAAAAAAAAACACGAGTGAAAAGGAAAGAGAGAGAGGGACAGCATAGCATTAGGAGGTCACTTAATTAGGTAGACTAATAAGAACGAGAAAGAAGGGAATATCCTTTAAACTCTAACAAGATACCATTTGAAGTTGTTAATTAAGTCCTGAAATTTGGCAAATATTATCTCTCATATAAATATACATCTTTGTGTTGTTCTTTTCTCCCATCTTTTTTCCCCATCACATAAATCAAACAAAATTGTTTTAAACTAAACCCAAAAAAAAAAAAAACAACACATTATTTTAAGAGATCTAAACCCCTTCTTTTGTTGTTTTTCTTCACTTATTTTTTGTCAGACTATTTGTAAACTGTACGTCAGCAACCTTAAACTGACAAAATTAATTCAGGTTTGTATGTTTATTTATCATTTTTTGTCATATTTTTATAATAGAAGTTCTATTATTACTTTTAATATTTGTAGAATTAGTTGTTGATTTATTATATTGAATTGTTTAATATGATGATGTGTTAATTTTTGTTAAGATCTTTGATTTGTCGTTACATGAATTATTGCGATGTGACAAATGAATAATGTGTTAAGTACAAATATTTCAAGTTTCCAATTCTTTGGGAGAATGAAGACTAAGGTATTTCATTGTTCATTTTAAGGATCGAATAATGCTTATTAATAATTTTTTTTAATATTTGTTTATGATTTGATTCACAAGTGTTTTATACAAAGTTATGGTCGGTACAATCTATCTTAATTAGTTATTACTAATTTTGGATATATGAAGATATTTCAAGTTTCGAGTCTTTTGACTAAAGTATTAAACTAATAGAATTTTGGGCGAACGCGAAAGTCATGTACACATAACATATTTATAGTGGTGTTTCCCACTTTCTAGATTTTTCTAGACTTATCTCATATTACATGTATCTAGATTTTTCTAACATGCATGCATAATCTCACCTATTGATCATGAAATCACGATTAAATTAAAGATTTGTATCTCTTCATCCGTAATCTTACCTATTGATCATGGAATCACGATAATAACTATGGATTTTAGTGTCGTACTCGTATAGGTTAGATTTATATTCTATACGTAACAAATTATCAAATTTATGCCTAATAGAATTTGTTCGTACTTGTCCATTTTGTTCCATGTGGGAGCACACGAATAAGAAAAGTGTAGTAGGCCAGGTTTCGATATTCTCACGAGTACTTACTTGCACTTTATAAAAATTTAAGCTTATGATATATGAAAAGTATGTATCCAACCTTTTCTAGAACAATGATAACACTAATATATACTCTACTTTTCAAAATTTGTGAATTAACGGTTTTCATCTTACATTCGAGTGTATAGTGTGTACTCTATAAGTGTATAGGAGATTATGACTTGTTTGTTTCATATTATGTCGTATGAAATGAATTTAACTATTTGTCTGTGTACAATGTATGTAACGAGTATTCATTATATATACACATGCCTGTATTCTGTAACTAATTAATATTACTCATTGGAATTTTTTCAGGTGAAAACAACAGAAGAAGATTAAAGTGTCATGGCGAAGGATCAATTACATGTCCTAAATGCCTTAGATGTAGCCAAGACACAATGGTACCATTTTACGGCGATTGTCATAGCAGGGATGGGCTTCTTTACGGACGCCTACGATTTGTTCTGTATATCCTTAGTGACAAAACTCCTAGGACGGGTTTATTTTCACGTGCCCGGCTCAGGAAAGCCGGGCACATTACCTCCTAGATACTCCTCGGCTATCAATGGAGTAGCCTTGGTAGGGACTCTAGCCGGGCAACTCTTCTTTGGCTGGCTCGGTGACAAGCTGGGCCGAAAAAAGGTCTATGGACTAACACTAATGCTCATGTGTCTTTGTTCCGTGGCCTCGGGTCTCTCCTTTGGGAGTAACCCGAATTCTGTGATGGTCACCCTTTGCTTCTTTCGGTTTTGGCTTGGGTTTGGGATTGGTGGGGATTACCCCTTATCCGCCACCATCATGTCCGAGTATGCTAATAAGAAGACCCGTGGAGCGTTCATTGCAGCCGTGTTTGCTATGCAAGGGTTCGGGATCCTTTCTGGTGGTGTATTCGCAATTTTGATCTCTGCTGCATTCGACGCTAGGTACGTATACTTGTACACATTAACATCAGTATGCTGATAAACAATAATTTTCGTGAAAAAATTGCTGATAAACTTGTAAGAAAGTACATTACATAACAAAATATCTAATCAATCTGACTTGAAAATGGTTGTTGTGTCCTAGGTTTCCAGCTCCATCGTATGAAGACGATCCAATTAAGTCCACAATCCCACAAGCAGACTTCGTCTGGAGGATCATACTAATGGTTGGAGCACTACCAGCACTTATGACATACTACTGGCGAATGAAGATGCCTGAGACTGCAAGGTATACCGCGCTGGTTGCAAAGAATACTAAGCAGGCGGCTGCTGATATGGGGAAGGTATTAAATCAAGAGATCGAAGAGGAGCAGCCTCAAGGGGTGGAGAAGTTGGGGACAAAGACCATTTGGGGTTTGTTCTCCAAGGAGTTTGCTCAACGTCATGGTCTGCACTTACTAGGAACTGCTAGTACTTGGTTCTTACTTGACATCGCGTTTTATAGTCAGAATCTTTTTCAGAAGGATATTTTTAGTGCTGTGGGGTGGATCCCGGCTGCTAAATCAATGAACGCGATCCAAGAGGTGTATAAGATTGCTCGAGCTCAGACTTTGATCGCGTTATGTAGTACTGTTCCTGGGTACTGGTTTACTGTCTTCCTCATTGATAGGATTGGGCGGTTTGCTATCCAAATTTTGGGGTTTGCCATGATGACAGTATTCATGTTTGCCCTCGCAATTCCTTACAACCATTGGACTCACCCGGAGAACAGGATTGGGTTCGTTATGATGTATGCCTTAACCTTCTTCTTTGCCAACTTTGGCCCCAATGCTACCACATTTGTGGTTCCTGCAGAGATCTTCCCTGCGCGGCTAAGATCTACTTGTCATGGGATATCAGCTGCCGCTGGGAAGGCAGGTGCCATAGTTGGCGCGTTTGGGTTCTTATATTTGGCTCAGAATACTGACCCAAAGAAGACAGACCAAGGTTACCCTCCAGGCATTGGAGTGAAAAACTCGCTCATTGTTCTAGGTGTTATTAATTTGCTAGGGCTGTTCTTTACCTTCTTGGTGCCTGAGGCGAAGGGGAAATCTTTAGAAGAAATCTCGCGGGAAAATGAAGATGATCAGGAAGAAGAACCATCCATAGTTTGAGTTTGTTTGGGATTTCTAGTGTAGTTTAAGATCAGTTTTCCAATGTCTACTGTAGTGTGATCAATGTTTCTTTCTTATTTCTCAGGTACTAGTTTCTCTACGACATTAGTTGTGTCGAGTGTGCTACATTGTTGCATAAATTGTGTTGAGTGTTTAAGTAGGTTGTGAAGGAATCTATCGTGTTTGGATTGTTGGAACAGGGGCTGAAAATCATTGCATTGTTTATTTTATAACGTCAGCCATTGCAACTTACAGATGAAGGTTCAATGCGCCGATCTTTGGAAAAAAATAGATGAGTTTCACTATCAGGTCTGCTGTTTTTTTTTTTTCAGTAGAAAACTTCAAGGTTTAGATGGTTATTTGTAAAGAAGAGTCAAGGAAGTCTCTTAATGCACTTAAAAATTAGCAAGAAGAATGAAATGCAAAATGAAGTGGTAAAACATTTTAGTTACCTGCTTTCAATTAGCGGTGATGAAGGCAGGAGTATCTGATATCAGGCTATGTTCTTGCTAAAAATCATGTTTATTCGTCAGCAATTAATTTCTAATGTGTAGAAACACTTCAAGCCCTTAAAAAGAAGAATTACTTCATATAAATTATCCATTGTAAACCAAGAAAACAATCTTAAGAACCTCATAGTGATACTTCAGAGATATTTCTACTAGGTTTCCTCTAAGTTTGCCAAGAAAGAAGCATTTTGAAGCTCTAAGTTTGCCAAGTAGATGGCTTTGATATAGAACCTAATGCCTCGTCAATTAACCTTGACTCGAGACACAAAGAGTTGACCTGTTTCATATCGAGGGATAAGGCTGAAGCTGTCAGTCCAATAGCGGGAAAACCTTACCTGACCGAAACAGTCCTACAGATGAGACAGTAAAATAAAAGTCTACTCAAGCCCAACACCACCTTAAAGTTAGTCTGATCTGACTCGAGTTGGGTTGAGCGGATGATAATCAGCTCTTCCCTAGGTAAAGGGCTATTAACTTCTTAATATTTTGCCACTGTGAATAGTTGATGCCCCAATCTATGCATAAAAAACGGATTTCTGGAATAACAACATTTATAACTTCCAAGAGTTAGATCATCAATAGTTTACAAGTCAGTAAACTTGCCCTTGTCTGACAAGCAATACAGGCTAACAACAGTATATATGTCACAACAGCAACAGCCTATAAGCTTCAAGTGCCAGACCTTCTGTTTTCGAGTTTTTCCTTCGTCAGAAAGAATTATCTCTTTAAAAATTTTAAATGATTAATGTGCACGATCTTTGAGCACTTCAAGATCCATCTCTGAGGGGTCAGTAGCCTGAATTTCATAATGTACGCCATCAAGCTCATGCTTAAAGTTCTCCTTTGATGTGGCATACAGCATCTTGGCGCGTATACGAGAGGTTGAAGGAGCCCTACAAATGAGATAAAACATGTAAATGATCATGCTACAAAATTTCTTCTGAAAAGTCAGAATCAGAAGATCTGCACTTCTGCTGCTCGACAATCAATAAAAAGAATAAGCTGAACTAATTGTCTAATAGTAAGGCAACAAATATTTATATCCTTATTAGTTGCCTAACTGGTTTGGCAAATAGACAATTTCTAGAAGAAATGGCAATGTATGTCATAACAAAGCTTGAGAATAGATTTTCAAAATCAGTAGATTAAAGGTCATGATTCTAATGAAGCTGCTGGGTACAAACATAGTTTTTCTGGGCCAAATCAATCATATGCAGTAAAATCAGCGCACTTAAACAAACTATGCAGTATCTGACTATCTGATAGAGATAGCCTAACACTATTTTTCCAGGTTAGGTGCACAATTACCCCCTCACCGAATCCCTATCTCAAGGTGGCTTGTGGAAGGTGGCCAGTGAAGAATAATGTTCAGGGGAAGGGGGAAAGGAGCCTTGAACCCAGGACGACCTAAGTTATGAACTGATGGAAGCCAGGGGGTTCAACCACTGATCTCTACTCATTTCTTGTTTAAGGCTTAACACTACACTCCAGGAAATTGCTAGCAGTAATAAATCAGACATTCATAAATCAATCCAGTTCCAGAGTTCATGTATATACATAAAATAGCAGCAATATATATACTTGACATCCGAAGTATGAAACAGAATCAGCATCACCAGGGCATTTATCTTAGTATCATCATAATTTGACTAATCAAAAGTCTATATATATTTCACAAAATTGATTCAAAGATGCAGATTCATTAATCGAATAATTGGAGGAAATATGCAACTGAAGAAAAGAAATCAGGCACAGAGCTAACCATGCAAAGAAGAAAATCTTGCTCTTTTGGCAATTGTCAGATGTCACAAAATCATAATCAAAGACTGCATATCGACAGTCATTTTCTGGTAAGGCAGCCAAAAAATCATCATAGCTTTCAGCTGGATTGCCAGTCTTTTCAACCACAACCTCTTTCTTCTTCTCATCAATCTTGAATACAACGTAGCGGTGATCCTTCTTCCTCTTTAGTTCCAGGAATGCATCTTTGCTATGGTCCGCGATAGACAATCCAGACAGAGAGTTAGACTGTTGCAAAACAAAACTATGATCAGACTTTCTCAACCTTAGATGTTTCCAAAAGAAAAATAGAACAATTGCTATCAAAATCCAACAACATTAAAACTTAACAATGAGCTAGACTTAATTCCTCAAGAGCATGCTAACAAATTCAGCCTCGGGTTACAATAAACGCGTAAACACCTCTAAACATTGATTAATTTAGCACAACCGCCCTCGAAAATCACAGGATAGCAATGTCAATCATCACCCATAGCTAATCAAGTCAACTTTTTCATAAGGCATCAGATTTAAAACCTCATGATGAACATAAACAAAGCACATACCCCATCAAAATACAAACTTGACAATACAAATTGTAAGAATTCTCATTAAAAACTTAAAAGTCCCAATTTCAGCTTTCAAAATCAACTTGAATACCATTGTTCTGTGATGTAAAAGATATGACACTTTTAATTTATTTTTTTGAGGCGAAAATGGAGAACACTTTGATACACTGATCACAAATTAAACTGTGTAATCAACCAAAGAAAAACTTGACAATTTTAATCACTCAAAATTCACAGGAATTCACAGTCAAAGTTCACAGAGATCTCAAATTTCAATCAAAAACAAATTAATTGGTAATCTAGGCAAAAATTTCAACTAAATGGTAAAAAAGTCAAACCAAATTTCGCTATTTGTAATATTTATTTTTACACAAATTACTCGCATAACAAACATCGATAGCCAAAAAAAAATTATCTTTCTGCAAGAATGAACAACACAAGAAATCGGAATACTTGCAAATTTTTCAATAATTGAAATTGAAGTACTTCAACTAAATTTTGGCAGTAAATAAAAAAAAATTAATAACAAATTAAAGCCTAAATTTTTTCACATGAAATTATCAAAATCATGATTTATCAGACCAAAAATCAGATAAAATTGAGAATAATCAACTCAAAATCATGAAAATTATACTTAATCGGAGGCAAAAATAAAAATTACCCATGAAAGTAAAAGCAAAGAATTGAAGATTCAGCAAAAAAAAGTAAATACCCTTTTGAAAGACATGGTAGATGAAGTTGCTTAGATTGAAGGGAAACACCAAAATCGCACGAAAGATCGAATTTTTAGAGAGAAAACTTGATTGAGAGAGAAAAGAGAGAAATGGGTTATAAGGATTGGTGATAAACTGGAGGGAAATTGGTTGTTGAATGAAAACAAAATAAATTGAGAATTTTATGGTGTCGTGGAGTGTCCAAAAACTGACTGAAAAAAGGTTCTTTCTTTTTGTTCTCTTTTCCTATTGAAAAATTTAACGGGATGTCTTATTTTAGGGTTATCAACTTACCCCATTAATGATATCTATAATTGCTTAGGCGTTGTTCAATTTACCTAAAGAAAATAATATTCCGTAGAAAAAAATTCATTAAATAGGTTATTTAAAGAATAAATATGATAATAATAAAATAAGTTTTGATTTAAAAATTAATCTTAAATTGAGTAAAAATAAAACAAATTTTAGCAGAAATAACTTAAGTGTAGCAAATATTATTTGAAGAGAATATGGTCATAGACTCATAGATTAGGGTTGGCAAAGTTGAGAGGAAAAGAACAATTATATGGCTTGTTTATGATGAACTCGTCTAGGATAATATGATGACTTAACCAATTTATTCACAATGGAAGTTGGTAAGAAGTATCATTATTCATTACCTGTTTTTTTTTCAAAGAATTTTGCAAATAATTTTACTCTTAGAAAAAGGCATGTTGTTTGGGTACTTAATATAATACTACGATAAAAGAAGTACCACGTGTAATCGTATATAAATTTCACTTGTTAAATAGATAAGTGAGAAATCACATCAAACAATAAGTCTAATTTTCAACCTTCATTGCAATGAATTTTTATTTTTTTTTAAAAAGAATTGCAAAGAACTTTTTTAATTTCACTAAATAACACGGTATTATCACACATACTTACTAATTCAAAAAATTACTCTGTACAATCTAATCTTTCTCCTATTGTGTTTTGTTTAACCGACAATCTAATTTAATCTAATATATAAAAATAAAGTAAGTATTTTTCGAGAGCATTCGACGCGCCACATAAGCAGAGGTATATTTTCGACCAATTAAAAATTAGATTTCTACTTTCTTTTGGAATAAAAAAATTCGTTTGCCACCTAAACAAAAGTGACGAATGAGATTTAAGAATTTTGCCACGTAACAACGAATATTGATTTATTAGGATTTAATTTATTTATAAAACTAAAAATTATCTTTTAAAATAATCATCTTTAGATATAGGATTTATATACCTACTATTATAAGATAAATTTTGATAGTGTTTATGATAAGAAATAAAAATTATTTCTTAATTATAATTAAATTAAAATTTGTGATACCTACCATTATAAATTGACACATCATACGATACCAACAAAATTTCGTATCAATACAAAACCAAACTAAGCAAATTTTCTGTCATTAATTTTGTGTTAGTTTTATTAGGTCATCAATGGCTGGGTAATTCTTAGCCTAATTTTTAAAACCCATGTTTAAATGTATATTTGTGATTATTGCTTAAATTGTGTTTATTTGAGATACTTAATGATTATATGTTTATGTTTTGTTTACTAAATTTTGTTTTTACATGCAGATCTAATTTAATCAGAGAATTATATTCGAGCAAAAATCCTTGGAATATCACAGTACGAGTTTCTCGCTTGATGATCCCATTGGATGAGGAGGTATTATATCTTTATAAATCGTTTACATTTATTTAATCTTTTAATGAACCTTTTAGTTTTAATCATTTAATTTTATGATTAAAACAATTTTTTGTGATTTAGGTAGCTAAATTAAGTCATAAAATTAACTTAATTTTTTATTTTTAATTATAGGGTGATTACGTTCATGCCTCAATTAAAGTCAACTTTGTTCTAAAATTTTGTTCAAAATTGATTGAAGGAAAAAATTTACTCTATTAGATACTTTTCAGTTGTTACAAATAAGAAGCAATATCGCACGCATTGTCAGCGACAATAAAATAATGATTCAATTTTCCAAAAATACTATTGTTTGGGTAATTGGGGATGATGAAAAAATTCCAATGCATAGATTAATTTTGTATAATTACAATTTTTAGATTAATTTCTCAACAATTATTCACTTTCTGGTAAATATTTTAATTTTATAAGATTATAAAGATTAATTTTGTATAAATTTTAATTTTGATAACATGTTCTATTTATCCGCTTTTATTAGATGGAAGAGATATCGGTGTGAACAAAGTTGGTGATCCTATCAAAATTTTTTTTTAATACAATTTTTTTTACATCGAAATATTACATCTAATAACTATTATTTTTAATGTTCAAAAATATTATGAGTATGATCTAATTACAAAAAATTATTTTTATGAGATCTTATGTATAAAAAACCGTGGGATATTAGGATATAAATTATTAAAAAAAATAAAAATTATCTTATGAAATTAATGGTTTTATCTAAATACCCGATTAATAAGATGTTTTTTTCATAAAAAAAATTTAAAACTTATAACGCAATAAAAAACCTTACCTTCTTTAAAAATTTTATGTCTAAAAATTTGAATAGACAAATAAATTACAATAAATCAAATAAAAATGCATTTAATTTCAAGTGTAAAAAGCAACGAATAATGATTTAGGATTTAAATTATTTTAAAAATAAAAAATTATTATCTTTTCACATTAAAGATTTTATCCTAATATGTAATCAATGAAATATCATATTACAATTTTTTTTTTTTGGAAAGATATCATATTATTTTCATATAACTAACAACAACGAATAAAATACAAAACAACAAAATATATCAAGTCGCTTTGTAAATTACATTAAAAAAAATTATACTTTTGTAATTGGCAATATCATTTTAATTAAATTATTATCATTATTATTATTATTAATTTTTTTTTTGTCTGAAATATTAAATTATAATATAAATCAAATAATTATCCTTAGAGTATATAGGAAATATCTTTTCTTGAGATATATGTATAAAAAAATCGTACATCGCACGGGCTTTCATCTAGTAAGAAAATAAAGCTATACAATCTAATAGATACTCCTCTGTCCTACTGATCAAAGATTGCTATCAAGTGATGTAGTCGAGGAATTTATAAAGTTAAACTCTTAATTGTAGTCCTCCTTTCTTATGAATAATCTCAAGTTTCATACGTTTTGAAAGGGTTATGTTACTAGTATGATACAAAATGACTTTATTGGTAAGTGTTAACAAAGGGTGAGTAGATTAGATGAAGATTAATTAATTAATCGGGGCATAATAATAGTAATTCGTAATTGCTGATGTAATTCTTATAAGATGCTGCCAAGCTATATTTGACCTTAGTGAGTGATTGAAATATTTAAATGTTATTATGAAATTTAGAATTGACTTGAAAAAAAAAGGGCGGTGCGTTGGAATAACGCTATAGTATGAGGTATACGAGTAGGTAACATGGCCATAGGACCAGAAAATAATGATCTAGTTTTGCAATTTGCAAATGGATGCTACCCAACAAATTATTATTGATGAAGCTCCCCCACCGTCCTTTATTTTTTTAAAATAAAAAGTAAAAAAAAAAATCTTCAACTCAGGGTCTATTCTGTTTACCTTAAGGTCTAATAAGTTCAGGTTAGTTCAAATCAGTGAAAATCAAGTGAATAGAACACACTCTTTTTTTTTTTTTTTTTTTTTTTTTTTTTTTTTTTCACGAATGACTTATATTTTATTGTAATCTCTTTATGTATTTTGTCTTTCTTGATATTCATCAAATATTTAGAATTTTATAAAGAGTAAATATTACATGATCTAGAACGATTGAATTGGAATACTTTTTCATACTAAAAGGATGGTTATTTTTATGCCATCAATTGTTGTAAAGTGAGGTAATAGTGGTTCTACACTACACCATGCTTCATACAGTAGTGTATTTTTTTTTTTTTTCAACAAAGAGTCAATTTGAAGGTATCACTAATAAGTGAAGGTATAGCCTCATATATACTTCTTATATAACTATTTTATCATGAATTTCAATCAAATTTAAAACTTAATCACTTATTATTAACGCAAGGCGTCAGAGAAGAATATTTATAGCAACTAACCTCCTCTTTAATTGTCTACGGTTACAAAATACTCCGTAATTCCTTAACATTATTTCTATCATTAATGTGAGAAAGAAATATTTCGATAACTTATATCCCCAAAACATTTTTTACAAACTCTCAAGAAAAACTTTAACTCAACTATGCTATCATTGCAATTAATCACCATTATGTCTCTTGCAATAAATCTACCTTCTCTCCAAATATGTTAGGTCTCTTGCAACAAATTTCTGCCTAATTTTTTTTATATGTTCAATGTTAATTACCCTATAAATGTCATCTCAAACCTCATTGTTTATTGAATGACACCAAACAAACACGTTTTATATACTATGTCTAAGACGGCCAACATAACACACCCATACACCACGACCATCAAGTTTGAGTTGGGCTAATATAGTCTATAACCCAAGAAATTAGGGGTGATTCCACTCTTTTGAAAGTTTCGAAACCGGTTTAGAGTGCCCTAGCAAGTTGTATCGATCATAAATTTACATGGTACTACACTACTACGAAACAAAAAACAACCTTTGAGAAAGCTCTGATCTTCTACCTGTTTTTCAAAATTTCCCCGCTAAAAAATACCCCTTATGGAGTCAGAGGGTAAGATCAAACTCGATGAACCCTATTTCTCTATACTTTTATTTTCTTAATTTTTCTGTAATACTAGATTTAAATGGGTGTTCTTGTCTTTTTAGGGCTCCGAAATCCTACAAACCCATCTGCAGTTTTGGCTTCTCTTTTGACTAAAAGAGCTAAGATTCATGAAGAACTCAGAAACATTGAGAAACAGGTGATTTCCTCAAGTCCCACATTGTATGATTTCTGGGGTTTGTGTTGATTGATTTATTGTTTGTTCAAGTTGATTGAATCAGTAAAATTATGGGTTTTTCTGGGGATTTTTTTGATATGATTTTAGTCAAATTGCCAGGATCAATTGTCTGACATGAACTAATCCAATAGGTTTGATTTACATTATATTGATCAGCAAGTGAATGGATTCAATTGATTAAGAATTTGTATCTGTTATATATTTTGTGCTTTATTTTCTTTGTTGTTTGAAGATTCTGTATTGAAAAAACGTTGCCACTAATTTTTGGCTATTCGGGTTGTCAAATGACTAGGTTTTTTTATGATCAATGAGGTACTTCAAATTTGTGGGATTGATGTGTCCACTGTCAAGACTCAAGAATGAATCTTTGGAATATGAATCCTATCTTTCTGTACTGGGTTTATTGGCTATGTAGATTTATCGCGGTGTAGGAACCAAGAGAAGTGCTTTTGTGAGCTCTTACATTGTGGAATATTGTAACTGCTTGTTTATGCATTTGCCAACTTTGAAGTTTTAGTAGTTGGCATTGGATTTTATAAGAAAGAAAAGGATTTAAATCCTCACCCACCAAGAAGTGCTTTTGTGAGCTCTTACATTATGAAATATTAAAACCATGGTCAGGCTTGCCAACACTTTCAATATATTAGACGACCTCAATAAAATATTGAACCATGTTTTCATAGATTGGAATGCTTAAGCCAAGCTGCTTTGATTGGTATATAATAATATAATCATACCTGAGTAAGTTTCTCATGATATGGCAACAATGTGGAAAGGATGTTTTACAAAAGAAAGCAATTTGAGATTGTTAAGCTGCTTTGATTGGTATATGATAATATAATCATTCCTCTTTCTTTTGCTCTCATCACCCATGGAGACTCGAACTGTGACAAGTGTATTGTTGCAAGTGCAGGTCTTTGACATGGAGACGACTTATTTACAGGACCCTAGCCAATGTGGAAATGTATTGAAAGGTTATGATGGGTTCTTATCTACATCAAAGAGTACCACACTGTACATCCCCGAACTCTTTTCCAATATCTTTCATCTTCAGCTCCTTCTTTACTAGTATATACATAATGACTGATGTTATTACAATATGCTTATGCAAATGACACTTTATTTTTTGTTGCATATAACACAAGAGTTCGAAATTTGATTTATTATCATTGAATGATTGCTTTAAGTCAAATTTCTTGACTCTTAAAGAGTGAAGTTATAAGAATTTTCTGAAATATCAGCATAGGTTTAAATATGAAGTTTTTTGTGGCAGTATGTGGGTTTGTTATAGTTCCTTTTGCTTTTTATAATTATTCATGTTCAAATTAATGTATAGGAAACTTCATTAATTTGGTCATAGATCTTTTCACTAATAGTAGATGTGTATCAGTGTATATAATGTTTCCTGGTTCTATGTTTAGGCTGAAGAGGTCCAGGAAGTTTCAGACGGAAGACAGGCTATTTTCTTTATCTTCAATTACCTCACCAGCAGTATGTATTTTGCATCTTACATATGGTAGCATGTTTTTTTGTTTGTTTTGAATGTCTCTTGTTGATGAAGTGCTGAGATATGACTAGAGAGACCTAGCTATTTTCCATCTGTTTGGCTGGACCTTGATATAAGATATCTCGTGTGTGAAATATTTTCCTCCAAAGTAATCTGATGAAATACTGAATGGAATTCAGTTACTAGAACTAGTGCATTAGCCAACCACTAGTGAGATTGATCTAGGTGAATACAAACTCCACTGATTCTCAGTTTCGCTGTGTTTTGAGCATCTATTCATTTGGGAACGATGATGGATGTATTGTTAGCATTTAAGAGAAATATAAAAATTCTACGAAGTATATAAGTTTATTGTTTGAGTAATACAGATAATTGTTTTTTTTTTTTTTTTAGATGTTAGCATGAGCTAGAAATGATACAGAGTAGGTTTTACCATGTAACTCTGATGATCTAGTCAATTCTTTGAGGATTGAGGTGATAATTAGCTGTGTTATACCGTCATCATCATTAGTTATGTTATTCAGAAATGATTCCAGATTGTGTGTTTCATTTATTTATCATAATGTCAGATGAAGGGACAATTTTTCCTTCATGCAGCCTTTGTTCAGGAATTATATTCGTCTCTCAGACCCATGTATAGGATTTTTTTTTTTTATATGTTCTATTTTGATGGTCACACTAATGATCTTGTTGTGTTTATTTGCTGGTTCCACTGTAGGCAGAAGAACAAGCATATGGAAGAGAAGGTGTGCTTTTCATCTGTCATATGAGCAATTTTCTTCCCATCAGAATTTCTTAAATCATATTCTGATGCTTGCTGTGTATATTGGTAGATGGAAGATTGGAATCTGGTCCAGGTCGATACAGGGGAATGGGTGTGGTCGGAAATGGACAGTAAGTGCTACTTTTATCATGAATAGGAATAGGTGGTATAAATTTATGTGGTATATTCTCGGGTTGTATTGCTATTCACAAATCACATCTACTAATTATGTTTTGTTTGTAATGTTCGTGTCATGTGTCTTTTTAGAACTATATGATTCACATTCATTGCAACTTCTTGATCTTTACGATACTGCAACTTACATTCATACAGTCAATATATGCTACATCTTTTTAAAATAATGCAGAGGTTTATCTGTTCATATTACAGGGGCAAACCGAAGAAAGGCAGAGGAGCTAGAGAAGGGAAAAGAATCAAACATAATGATCAGGATTTCGATTATGATGACGATGCTGAAATGTAGCGGTTTACTACTAGTCTACTACGAGAAAGATCTACTAGCTGATAATCTATGTATCACTGATCCATCTGAATACATCAGCCAATGTATACTGCAAGTGTTTTTTTTTTTTTTTTTTGGTGGGGTTGGGGGAGTACAGTCTCTGATGTACATGTAAATCAGAGGAATTGAAGTAATTTTCTTGGTAAAGAAAGTTTGAGTTCTTAGTTTTTGGTCTGGTTTAGTCGGAATACAAGCAAACGGTTTCTAATCTAACTTAAGCATGGGGCGAAGCTGTGTAGGGAGCAGTGAGGCCAAACAAACTAAACCAGATTCCCTGTTTTGTTGCTCAATAACGAGGGATAATTCAAGTGCTTAGAGCTTCCCTCCCGATTCCAGGAGATTCTGGGATCGATTCTCACCCCTGCCCTTATGGCTCTCTAAAAAAACCAAAAAAAAAAAAAAAAAAAAAAAAAAAAGGATCATACTTTCCTGAATGTACCTAATATCAGCCGAACTTGGGTTTATTGACGAATTTAACAAACTCCCTTGAAAGTTATTGACTTAAGGCTAAGGGTGTTTAAAGAACAAAGAGAGGGTCCGACTGTCCGAGAGTATTGTTTGTTGTATTATATGGGAGTCCAATTATGCTATTAACTAAGTGGAAAAAATTGAGAGGAAAAAACTTAAAACCTATGCATTTCTTATAAACTGGAACTTTAACACTAATCTTTTGAAATTCTAAAATACATTAGCCTTTTAAGTATGGGTTGGTAGATGACTTGTGGTGAATCATTGATCAAAGATTTTATTTTATCGTAATGAATATTTTAGGTGTTATGAATATATATAGGGGTAGTGGAAAATTTTCTTAACCTACAATGGGCAAATTAATTTTCACCCAAAAAAAAAGGTCAAATTAGTTACAAAACACAACGATTTGGGTTCTGGTTTCTCCCATTAGTTATTAGACCAAATTATCAAATCGGGCCAAATCCAAATTAAAGAGATCCCCATAATAATCAAAGTCCCCTTCTATCAAATCTTTCTCTCACTTCTTCTCTTGGGAACTTTTAGTTGTTGAAAAATGAACTTGCTGGTATGTAGTTATGTGCTCATCAATGGAACTTTTCAATTCAATTTCTTGTTAATTTTAAGCTTTGATTATTAGTTTAATTCTTAACTTTTTGATTCTGGGTTTAGGAAAAATTACCAAGAATGCAGAGGAAAGAACCCCAGAAGTTGCAGAAGGTTGAAGAAGTGGGCCCTGTTTGGTGGGTTGAAACCTCCGAGAACATCTCCCGCCATTTTCAATTTGACCCAGATGGTCGTTTCTCTGTTAGTCTCTCTCTTCTTGGTTTTCACATTCAAAATTTACACATTCTAATTTGCTGGAAAAAAAGAGAGTCAAATTTCTGCTAATTTTGATTCTATGGTTTGATATATTCATGAAGTATGGTGGGTGTGTTGGAAATTTGAAGAATTTAGCTTCTGGGGTTTTGGAATTTTGAAGATATGGGTAATTTAGAATTATGGATTGTGTTTATTAGAGCTGAAAATTGGGAAATTTTGATTCAATTTCTGAAGGTAGGGCTTGTAAAATGTGTAATTTGATTTCAGCCTGTTGATTTTCAGAATTAGGGTTCTTTATTGCTTTGTTTCTTCAATGCTAACTGCTAAGTTGCAATTATATTGGTTTTTTTTTTTTAAGGTAAAAATGCTTGAGGATTCAAGACCTGTGGTTAAAAGGGTGACTGAATCCTTCCTCAATACATTCTTTCCCTCTGGTTATCCATATAGGTGGGATGAAATTGATTTGGTTTTTAATATGTTTCATTAAAAGGCAAGCATTATTGACTTGAAAATGTGGTTGATGTTTTTTATGGTGCAGTGTGAATGAGGGTTATGGGAGATATACGCAATTTCGAGCTCTACAACATTTTACCAGTGCAGCATTGTCTGTTCTCTCGACTCAGGTCATCTCTTTTTAATCCTTGACAAACATCTCACTGTTTTCTCTGTTAAGCCTATCATCTTGGTAAATGTCAAAATAGGTTTGTTTTTAGTGGAATTGCAATGTTTAGAAGAAAAACCTGTTATCGTACTACTATGATTATGGCTTTAAAATGATAGATAGACCATGATATGTTTTTTTTTATTTTTTTTTTTTTTTATTTTGGTGCTCACGAGGGGCAAGGCCCCATAGACCATGATATGTTAACTGAACTAAGTGGGCATGTATTTCATCAAGTGTGAGGCTCTCCGATTTCCATTAGTTTGCCAAGGAATTTTCATACCTTATTTTGGGATTTGGAAAAAGTTTATATCCCTCTGATGTTTGGTTAAAAGTAAATATTTCTTTTTCTATAAGCCTGACTGCCCCAATGAAGTAAACCCTGCCACTCCCCTTAGCTTTTAGATGCCCTTCATGAGAGATAACGGAATTTTGGTAGAAATCGAAGCAACTGTCAAAAATTAAAGATAAGATAGAAAATGAGGTTTCTTCTCCTGGAGAAATTTAATGTTTGATAGAAGATAAAACAACAGGAGATTAGGAGAGAGTCTGTGTGTATGAGTGAGACACAACAAGAGAGAAAAAAGAATGTTTGAAAAAGTAAGCAAGAGCATATATCATAGTGGATGAAAAAGTGAACAAAACAATGGGGAAAAATAAATTATAGAATGGCTTAAAATTTTTAATATCGTTTTAATTTTATATGTAAAATGGAATATTCTGAACCAAACTCACCCTTGCATGTTTTTTTGTCTTGAAGCCTATAATTGTAGTGTTTAACTATTTAACTTTCAATACACTGTTCGAGGAATAACTATGTGATATGGGTAATTCTAGGGGAATCCATAACGCTTCAATCTTGATCACCCCCCCCCCCCCCAAAAAAAAAAAAAAAAAACAAACACACAACAACAACAACAACAACAAAGGTCAATTGTTGTACCTTGTCAACCCTTTTTTTTTTTTGAGGAAAACCTTGTCAACCCTTTACTAGAGCTTTGTGTTTTTTTTTTTTTTTTTTTTTTAAATTTTTACTTGGGGTTGACCTTTGCACATCTATGTATTGTTGATTTGAAAAACCTTATTTCTGGTTGGGAGTCAAGGCAATTGTGTTTCAGTGTACTGTGATGTGCTTAATATTAGATGAGCACCCTGATGCATGTTTCTATCATCAAATTCTTATTCTTCTGCAGTCCCTGCTATTTGCTGCAGGCTTACGGCCAACACCTGCTCAAGCAACTGTAGTTAGCTGGGTGAGCTTCTATCTTTTAGAATCCCTGTTTTATTGTAGAAGCAATTTAGTTCTATTTGTTTTTACTTTTATAATGTAAATTGCCTATAGGTACTGAAAGATGGTATGGAGCACGTTGGAAAGCTAATTTGCAGCAATCTTGGTGCTAGGATGGATTCAGAACCAAAGCGGTGGAGAATTTTTGGTTAGCTCACATCTTCACAACAAGTCGCTACATCTTTTAAATGAATTGATATAGTTTTGCACCTTAGTTTAAAGCATATCTGGTACTTTAATTTTTAAGCTTATTCTATGCTTTCTGTTTGATGCATATTTTTTTGGCTCCACATCTTTCAGCTGATGTTCTGTATGACTTCGGCACTGGCTTGGAAGTTTTGTCTCCAATATGTTCTATTTCCACGTATGAATGAACTTCAACTATCCGGAATAGTAGAGCTAATTTGGAAAGGTGAAACAGAATTTGTTTAACGAGCTGTTAGCATCTCTGGGTATTATCTCTTTTTTCAGTTGTAACTTGTAAGTGTGCTTATATCTTCTATGTAAAAGCATCCAAGCCAGTCGAGTTGTTGAGGTTTTCTTATTCTTATTTGTTTGCTGCTGGGGAATATTTTATATAATGTCAAAAAGTTCGTTTTGTGCCATTTGGATCTTCTTCTCACATTACATACTAACAGTGGAATTTTATCTCATTTTGCATGATAGGGAATGGCTACTGTTGCTGCTAGAGCCACGAGATTGCCACTATATTCTTCATTTGCAAAAGAAGGAAACCTCAGTGATCTCGTTGCTAAAGGGGAGGCCTTATCGACGCTCTTCAATGTAATTGGAATGGGGGCAGGAATCACACTAGCATCCACTGTGTGCTCATCCATTCAAGGAAAGGTAAAGTTCACCATATTTATTGCTTGTTAGATTCTGAAAACTTTTGTAACTCAAAACTCATTTCATTAGATCAATATATGATACATTTATGACTTGATATATGAAAATCATTTTGTGAGGGCACAAGGAAAATGTGGGGGTTGAGAAAAAAAAAGGTGTCATTCCGAATTCCAAATTTTCCATCCAAGTATCAGTAAATGGGAAAAAATATCTAAAATATGTGAGAACGGTATATCTCTTGGTCACATTTGACTTCAATCCAGCCCTTCCCACATATTAATGACGTGGAATTGTGGAAGTCAGAGGCCCCTTGTGCCAAAAATGTTTTTTGTAGGAATTATATGCTCATATATTATAAACTACATAGTCTTAACCAAAATTTAGTTGGAACTCTGTGATTGTGTTAATTTTTCATCATGAAATGATAATCTGAAATGTGTGAACCTATAGCATATGATTGTTCATATACAAATGTGGTTTGATTACTTAAAGTCAAAAATAAGCTTAATTTTGTACAAGTGAGAAGTCTCTAATTATTAATTATTAACAAAGCCTTCTTTCGTTACATTCATCTGTGATGTTCAGTGGTCTAATCATATAAGATTGTTGTACAGGTTATTGCTGCACCCCTTCTTTCAGTTTTGCATGTATATAGTGTTGTAGAAGAAATGAAAGCTGTTCCTGTCAACATATTAAATCCTCAAAGAACCGCTTTGCTAGTTGCTGATTTTCTGAAGGTTGGTTTTATGCTCATGATTTCTCATCATTCATAAACTTCCAAGTGACATTTAAGTAGTACGTCATTTGAATTATTTCATTTTTGTTTTCAGATGGGTAAGATATCAACTCCTGCTAACCTCAGATACAAGGAAGACCTACTATTCCCAGGGCGTCTCATAGAAGATGCCGGAAATGTTTTAGTTGGAAGAGCTCTGCACAAGGCTACCAAACCATCAGCATTCCTAAAATGGAAAGAAATATTTCCGGAAGAAAAGTTTGTTTTAAGCCAAAATAACAACTGGATCGACATGGTGCTAGAGCAAAATGCGACTGGAGAAGATGCTATAAGAGGGTGGTTAGTTGCTGCATATGCTTCAAATATCGAGCAATCTTATTACGATGGTCTTAGCCCCAGTGTATTGCTTGAGGCTTACGAGAAAATGGAGAGCGTGTTCCCCCAATTTCTATCTGAACTGCAGGGTAAAGGATGGCATACAGATCATTTTCTTGATGGAACGGGGAGCCGTTTTATATCTCAGTTATCTCCAATATTTTGCTAATAACCCTTTGATGTCTGCCTTTATTTTATTTTATTTATTCATAAGGGATAAAATTTGGCTTATTATGTACGAAGTACTCTCTTAATCTCTTATCCCTTTCCGATCTTTACTTTTTGCTAGATTTATTGTTAGGGTGTTATTCATACTATTACTGGTACATGAAAATTTGTCATAATAAATTTTTTTTGCAACATTTACCCTTTTGTTATGTTCAATATTTATACAGTTTTCTTTCCGCTCATGTACCATATACCTGGTTGTACCTAATAATGTCAGTAAGTACAACCGATTGTAAAATTTGCTCATTTGTAGGTAAAGTTTCATTCTGATTTTAGTATCAAAAGGAGTATGAAAAATTTAAAACTCACAGGACGCTTACCGTTGAGTTACTCCGCATTTAAAAATGTGAGGAGACATTGAGACAAACAGTACTGTACAAAACAAGAAACCTCCTTTTCAAAATTCTCTTCAAATAGTACAACTTGGGGATAATATCTCACTATTTTCTGCAAATTACTGATGAAAAGCTTAGACCTTTAAAAAGAAAAGACTATTATAAATGGTGAACTCTCCTCATTCACTGAGTCAACTCGCTCTGTTCTTGATACTAGTGCTATGCTGCTGCTTAACATCTTCTTCAGTGGCTGCTGCTAGGCCTGGCTTCCTCTTCACTAGACACAGAGGAAGATGCACTCCTCAGTAAGTTTTCTCTCTCCTCTCTCTTTCTACATTTCAATACTGAGTCAACTCGGTTTGAATCGTTCAAGTTACCGTTGGTTTGTAATTTGAATAATGCCTTTTGGATTAATTTTTACTGATTTTAAATATTAATGAATACCCTGAAGCAAAATCGTCAATTTGAGTATTTAGATCGGGTTTGGTTAGGTCAGATTGGGTCGGGTTTAGTTGGGTTGGTTTGGTTAGGTCAGGTTGAATCGAGTTTATTTCAAACTTAAATCGAAATCTAATCAGTATTTTTCGGGTCGGGGTCGGGTAGGTCGGGTCAAGTTTTGACACTGTACCTCTGCCTCTTATTCAGTCTTTAACTTTATAATTTTGGAGCGTGAGAAAAAATGGTCAAAGCGCAAAGATTGAAAAGAGACGGAAAAAAATGGTCAAAGCGTAAAGATTAAAAAGAGATGAAGGGAGTACTCAAGGGACTCGGTTAACTAGGATAAAATCATCCCGAGTCACTCGGTAACTCGTTTATGTGGGGGGAGTGCAGGTACTGGAGCACAAGGAGGGAAGAATGGCCAAAGATGGTCCCACAAAGATCAACGGTGTCAAAGGTGTTTGGATCAAGGGTAATCGAACGGTTCAGATCTGATATGACGATGTTGGAAGCAGCAACACGAAACGACGACGTTGAGAATGCTTATGCAAGATTATTGAAGCAGTCAAGTGCAGCCTTGTTGAACTCTTATTCTAGATTGGGCTACCCTTATAAGGCCTGGGAGGTGAAAACTCTTCTTTTACAGGGCCTATTCTCTGAGAATGATGCAGCCCAACAGGCCCAAATACTTAAGAAGGCTAATGAAGCTTGTAATTAAAGCTTTACGTAGTAGACTAGTAGTAGAAGAAGGTAGTACTCCTTTCGTTTCTAAAAAAAAATTGTGTCTTGTACGCTTTTACTCACGTACAAGGATTAGTCAATGACACTTTCTAATTACTAAATTATAGCTTTTTTTTTTTTTTTTTTGTTTTGTTTTGTTTTGTTTTACTAAACTGTAGCTTGTACAAAATGAATGAAGTGAATTTCATGTTATAAGGTCAGGCTAGGCAATGAGGTAATGTGGGAGCCTAAAAGTATGATGCAAATACTAATAGGATGAGATCCTTTTGTGTATTTGTAATTGGTTATTACAACATTATTTATCGGTTCGCTGTGTTGATTATTATGTATCACTAACACATCTTTTGTGTAACCCAATGGCCTAAAGTTCACCAAGTTCATTATTCACACGCTAAAAATAAAGTCGTATGAACATTTTTCAAAACTTGACTTTTTTAGTCTCTAAGGATGAAGGTTGACTATTATTTAACACTAGTATACAATTTATGATTTTATGGTCAATTTTATAAATTTGGCTAGGGGAAGAGGTAGTATACTGAAAAGAGATTATTGAGAAATAATGTAAAGAAGAAACCAAAAACCAAAGTTTATTAACTTTGCATTAAAAAAGTGAGAAACCTCATTTTTATTACAAACATTATTCTAAAGCATGTCATTACCATTGTACAAGAAGCCTCTTTTACACAACAAAAAGAAGCTCTCTTTGTCTCTCTACTCTTCTAGGTACATTGAACCAAAGGTAGTAGTAGTACACTAAGAACTAACATGAAAATGCTACCATACATCATCGAGCTCGAAAGTAGCATACATAACCGAGCCATCATTTCTTGGCTTAAAACCTTCTGCTCTTTCCTCCTCTTGAAGGGAGAAAGAAAGTCTGATGTTCGCGGTTGTACTTAAGTTGATGTGCTTCCGAGGGTGAGATTTGGTAGGCGTTTGTTAGAACTTGGACTGGCATTGCCCTTAAAACTGAGGTGTATCCTACCATAGGACTCTTCATTGGGCTGCTTGTTGTCTTAAAGGACACGTACTCGAACCCGTTGCTTCCTGCCTTAACTGATACTGTGAAGTATTGTGGGATCACAAACATCTCCCCTTCGTTTACTCTGTCATCCATCACGCTCTGCCCGTTGTTTCCGACTACCTGGACATGTGCCTCGCCTCGTGTCACGTATACGACGCTGTGGCTGTTCACTGCCCAGTGTGGGGAGTATATTGTGTTCTGCATCACATATCAAGTAATAAGTATAGTTAGACCAAAATCGGAACTCTACCCAAAATTAAATGACCTCAAGTGGAGGGAGCCTGGATCAGGTTTAAATTGTTGATTTATTTACGAAAAATACGTGGCATGTTTATGAGAATTTTATTTGTTGATTTATTTACAAAATTGCCACTTGATAACTTTTTTGTTTATCAACTAGTCACGTGTAATTAAGTATGAATGTATTTTTAGCAATTAGTTAAGCAATTTTACCGGGAACATGTTTCCTTTCTCTACACTCATGTCCAAGTGTCGGAGGATAGGGAGCTTGTGCTCGTTGACGATGTTGAGTCTTCCACCATGGCGGGAGTAAACGTCGGCCTCCCTACGGTTGTCAAGGTTGTGGCGCAACCTCATGGTGCAAATAGTCTCTTCCAAACCATTAACATCAAGTCCTACGTACTTCCTTCGCCTCTCATCGTCATAGTCCTGCTCGCTTCCGGGGCTGAGGATTCTCATCTCACCTTTGTCCACCCTTACGATAAGGCCTCGGTTCTCGGTTTGCTGCATCTTCCTTACCAAGTCCTCTGGCACGTCGAATGCCTCGGACAATAGCTCAGGGTCGAAGGGCCTAAGGATGTTGTTGAATTGTTGTTGAGTATGCTTGCCTCTTTGCTCGGATGACCTCTCTACTCCGCCTGCCAAGTAGAATGACTATACACAACAACAATTTTTTAATAATAATAATAATAATAAATAAATTAATAATTAGTTATGCATGAGCTATAATAAATACTACCTTCGTTAACTATTAACTATTATGTGCAACTTTTGAAAAATTTATGTCTTATAAATAATATCAAAAAAGTTGTACTACCTCCGTTTTATATTATTTGCTATTTTGGGATATTATTTGTGAGATATAAAATATTCTAAAGTTGTAAAAAATATGAAACGGAGGTTGTACATAATAATTAACAGAGATAGTTCAATACCTTCTTGTCCCACCCTCCATTCCTAAAAAATAAGTGGGATCGGACAACCTATATAGTGAATTTGAGAGTAAAGTGACTGAGGCAGTATTTTTAAGTAAAAGTTAATAGTTATAGAAGAGTACCCTGAAGGTTTGGTCAAGTTGGTTGGAAGGGTTGTTGAGATCATTGACAATGACGGTAACGACCTCTTCGTTTCCGTCATTGTAACACCAGTGAACGGCACCGGGAGGGATCGCAATGATGTCACCACGTGTGAAGCGATGAACCTTCTGATGGAGGTCTTTCTGGTGGCCAAATTCTCTTTGTTCATCACCTCGGATTCCTTCTTCTTGTCTTCCTGATGAGTCGTATGTCTCTGGGCATCCAGGGAAAGTCACTCCCAAGATTCCTTCACCTACATTCATGATAAACACAAGTACATGTGTTAAATACTCTCTCCGTCTCAAATTAATGAATAATAGATTATTAATAAGCTCTAATTACATTTATTGGGCTATGATATAAGATACATGTAACATACTTGTATTAATCCGTATCATAAAGTATAATTAAATTTGTTATAATGAGTGTTATTTTTACATATATAATAATGTGTACTTTGTGTTACTGTAATGGACCAATTAATTTGAGATGGATGTACGAGTGGTATATAGAAGGTTAAGGTAGAGAATTAAATATATACGTACCTCGTTCGATGTAGACGAGGCGGGGGAAAGGATGGAAGTTAGGGAGGGAAAGGGAATTATGTTGGACAGTGACCCTCATAGCATGAATACCACTACATTGGAATTGCTCCTCAGTTTCATCCCACAGCTCAATCAACCCTCCTTCACACTCAACCCTTTGATTAGGCTCACTCGACGTCAACCGGTTAATCCGGCATTGCTGAGCTTGGTAGCTCAGTGTCACGGTCCGGGAGTTTGGACCCCGAAACGTGCGGCGCGCTCTAGCCTTTTGGCGGCAAGAACGCTAGCCTTGAGCGGAAGAGGGGCTTGTGAGCACAAAGCAACACAAGCGAGCAATAGAATCTCAGGAGCACTCACGTCTATCTGGGCGACGGAGTGCGGGTGGTCGGGTCTTGTGACGGCCGGTACTTCAAAGCGGGCACAAGCGGGTCCGAACCACGAGTCCTTAGCGCATCAAGTTGGGTTGGAGGGGAGCTAATATGCAAGTAAGACACAATATCTATAAAGGTCTAACAACAAACAAGCATAAAATCAAGGCAACACTTGGTAGAAGGCTTTAAGATTTCATTAATCATTCGCCCTCTAAAGAGCTTTAAATGACATACAAGGAGAATCCCTAGTGAACACTGATCTGACAGTAACACAATAATGGGACCTCAAGCTAAGAAAACATAACCTAAACTCTAAGAAAGCACTTAAATGGAATCTAATACATCAAAAGGAGTTGGATTCTAACATCCTCCCCCACTTAAGCTGTCGACGACCTCGTCGACTTACAAAAGTTACAATCAAAATTAGAAAACCCTAAACTATCTCAAGTTTCGGATGCGCCGTTGGTGCGGCTATCTTCTGGAATCTTATCTGACTCTTGAGTTGGATCTTCTTTGTTGACGAGGAGCTTGTCTCTGGAGTCGCTCGGCTCGAACATCTTGTTGAGAGCTTCATCTCTAAATTTCCTCCTGGGAGTGGAATCTGTTGAATTAAGGGGGCAGCTGCTTCCACCATCATCTGTTGGGGAGCTGCTTCCTTGAGACTGTGGTGGAGAGCTTCAAGTTGTGGCTGGTGCCTCTTGGGTGACCATTTTCTTTGTAATCCCTTGCACGCGCCCTGCGTTGTTTGCTCAACCACTGTTTTTCCTCCCTCTTGGGAGGTTCTTCTTTGGTGTCTCTTTGGTGTCTCTGGGCTCGTCGCTCTTTGCTTCGAACCTTGTGACTGATTCTGGTTTTGGCGGGTGTGTATCTGGGATGTTGCCAACTCCATGGGCTTCATCTCCCGTTTCTCTGGGTTTCTGGTGCGAGCTTGTTTCTTCGATTTTGCCTTCTTCTCAAGCTCCATCACTCGCATTGCCGAAAGATATCGGACTTCTGGTTCTTCTTGAGGTGCTATCATTCTCATAGCACTCAGGCGTCGTATGGAACCCATCCTATATGTGGGCTCCTCATCGCTGCTAGTCTCTTTTGTGGCCTCCTGAACGGACATGGATGACAATCTCTTTTCGATCTTGTCAAGTTCTTCTTTATGCTCGCAATCCCACCATTTGTGTGGACCTCGACAAAGTATGCAGTTTATTTCCCTTGTGTTTTCCGAGGATGCGCCGGCCCTCGAGTTTCCTGAGTTGTGGGAGGGGGTAGATGTTTGTCTCTGGGCATCACCTCCTCCACTTCTTCTATGATATGTATTAATGGTGTTGGACGATACTCGTGAGCCGTTCTCTGTACCCTTTGGAGAGCTTGGAGACGGACTGTTAGAGCGTGTTGACGTCCCACTTGAATCCTTCTCGGATTGACGACCCTTCCCGACTGAGTAGTCCATCAATCTCTCAGCAGCACACATAGCAGCAGCGAGGGTATCAATATTCTGCCTCAAAATCTCTCGCTGCGCCCATTCCTTTAACCCGTTGACAAAGTTGAACACACGATCTTTCTCATTCATGTCTGTGATGTCCAACATTATCGCCGAGTATTCCTTAACATAGTTGCGAAGAGAACCCTTCTGGCGGCACTCTTGCAACTTCATCCGTGCAACAAACGCTGTGTTGACGGGGTAGAATTGTTCTTTGAGTTCCTCTTTGAACTCCGCCCATGTATCAATCTTGATCCTTCCTGCTTCGATGTCTGCGTGCTTGGTGCGCCACCACAGCTTAGCATCTTCGGACAAGTACATGATGGCAGTATCCACCTTCTGATCGTCACTTAGTTGACATATTCATAAGTACTGCTCCATGTCGAAGAGGAAGTTATCAACTTCTTTCGCATCTCTAGCACCACTGTAGTCGCGAGGTTTGGGCGGCTTTATCTTCGCCGCACCAACACCCAGTGCGTCTCTGCCCACAGCGCGCGTTAAGGTAGCACATTTCTCAAGTGCTTCGTCGGCTTTTCCTTGAACAAA